CACAACGTGGTGCGATCATCCCCCTTGCGCGGAGCGGGTTCTCCACCCTGCACAACATGATCTACTCGACACCCATTATGGTTACCGCAAAAAAAAAAAAACGGTAACCTGGTTGCCGAGTTCACGAAGTGAATTGGCTTGTTTTACAACGTCTTTGCCAAGCGACGAAAACCCAACCCCGATGGCAAACACCGGGGCGGGGGGGGGTTCAAGCGGTGCGTGAGAAGACACACACACAAGAACGCAACGCACACCCTAGAGACGCCCTCGAAGACTACCTGCACGGTGCTCAAACACATTCAACCCAAGCCACAACCAGCGAGCTTCGCGCTGATGAAAAAAAAAGCGTGCCAAACCTCACGGAGGAGGTGGAACCGCACACACACCACAGGCGGTTCTCTTCATCTGCTAGAGTTGCTGTCTACACTCGGGAGACAATAGCCTAGTCTCTTCCAGATCATGGCCTTTAGAAGCGTGTTCTGTTTTCAGCCGCAAGTGAGACGGACGAATTTTCATTGGTCAGCCGGTAAGTGCGGTCCTGCAAACAACGAAGATACGCACACGCCCTTCAGAAGCACTGCAACTCCACGTTCGTCGCCCAGTCGAGTCGATTTCCTCATCGCACGCATACACGACACGGCCATGCACGCCGCGTAATCACAACGTTACAGCAACAATCGGGGGCCCCTTGTTGTGCCAAGCGCCTTCACCCGCCACAGCGGGCACCCGCACTATTCAATTTATTCGCCATCTTGATTATTCCATGTGTGCCAGCCAATTCACCAGGACTTTACAGGTCACCCCCACTACACAACCCGCACTATAGAGCCCCCCCTCCGACTTTACCTTGCTGTACTGCGCAAGCCAGTCCCCGTACGGCCGGCCCGCCGCCACCTTCTGCTTGATAGACCAGTTGTCCGCGAAACCACCATTGACGAGGTCGCACGCGATCATCTGGCCGGGGCCTAGACGCCCCTTGCTCGTAACCTGTTTTCGGTCAGTACGTACATGTGGCGTTATTTTTTTCTCCGTGGAATGCAAAAACATAGGCGTTCGTCCTTTTGCCTGGCACCGACACAACACGCCATTATCATGGGTACGGACTTATTTCTTCACATAAGTTGTGAGTTTGCAGCCCTGTTTTTCGTTTTTGTCAGTTTTCGTGAAGCCCTGTTTTTTTCAGTTTTCGTGGGAAGTTGGTTCCATTCAGACGCATTTCGCAATAACGGCAGCAACAATTTTGCGGGGCAAAGCAGGGGAGAGAAATCGAATAAACACTTCTAATTGAGGAACGTCGCTGCACTGCTGTTAAGGCGCCAAAGTAAAGTAGTAAATATGAACCAGTCAAGACATGGATCACCAGCCGAGGCCCTGACGCCATACCTTCCCCCCCGGCCCTCTCTCTCGCCTGCGCACCCCCCCATGGACGCCCAATCTACTGCCGGGTCAATGCTGCTGAGAATCGATGGACGATCCACACCTCACTCCTGCAGACTCGTCGCTATCAGCAGGTCTCTTATTGGGTCCGCTACTCCGCATGATCCGCGTTCCCTTGTAACCCCTAGACATCTTACCTAGCCAACACGTCGGCCCTTCGTATTTAGAGCTTTGCTTATTCTGTTCTGTTTTTTTTCTCTAGTTTCGCGTTTAAAATGGTTTATTTCTGAGTCCTTTGTTTGGGATTTGGAATTGTGTATTGTTATGGGTGGTTGGCGTCCGCGTCAGTTGGGCCACCGAAAGGCGCAGGGCAGAAACCGGAACGGTCTTACAACAACAACAACAACAACGACAACAACAACAACAACAACAACAACAACAACAACAACAACCAACAACTTTGCCCTACTGTAACTCGTCCGACAAGATGGTCGTTCTTGCAACCAACAAATAACAACACCTCTCTCACCTCAGCCTCGTCGACAGGGACAACGCCAGTCTCGCTCATCATGAGCACCGTCCCGTCCTTGAGGGTCATGTAACGGGCGGGGCGAAGCCCATTGCGGTCGAGGCAGGCCCCCACGCGCTTCCCGTCGCTCCACACCAGAAGCGCCGGCCCGTCCCACGCCTCCTGGTGCCCCTCCCAGAACCGGTAGAAGTCCTTCACCTGCGTGGCGGGGTGTTTTGGGCGTCGGTCTATTGCTTCCGTGCGGTGCTTGTTGGGGCGTAGTCTCGCCGGCTGGTTGCCGTTGTTTGTGTACGCACGGCAGCACAACTCGGCAGCAAGCACAGAGCGTTAAAAGGAACAAGGGAACCGTCGTCACTCCAGACATCTTGGTTTAGTCTTGACGCGACCGCGACCTTAGAAAGAAAGACAAAAAACATTCTTCGAGGAGGGACGACATGAAAAACTCAACGACAACAGCAATTGTCCCAATGAACCTCTCTGCCAGCCAGTCTGGTAGGAGTGGACGAGGGTGACAAACAATAGTTCGGGTCTCTCCCCTACTTTCCTACTGATGTTGTCATGTATCGCAGGGGTGCACAGAG